AATTCTCGGCAAAAACCACTTCCGACTCCGAAACGTGGACTCCATCCGCAGAAAATGATGCATTTGATGGGACATCTAAGGATTAATTCATTTCGAACTCCTCAATCCACAGGAAACTGTCAATGCAGAGATCAATAGCAAGCAATTGGAACGTGTAAATCAAGTCCTTCATCAGAAACGCCCTTCACTGTCAATCGGAAAGGTGTTCTTCTCAATGACAATACACGTCCACATGTGGCACGTTTGACGCAATACAAAATCATGGAGTTGGGTTGGGAAGTTCTCCCCCACCCACCATATTCTCCAAATATGGCACCATCAGATTACCATCTTTCGTTCGATGCAACATCATCTTAATGGGAAAACGTAAGCAAATGTGGAAGGTGTTAAAGAGGACACTGACATGTTTTTTTGCTACAAAACAAGTGATTTCTTTTATCAGGGCATTAACAACTTGATTGTAAGATGGAAAAGCATCATCGATAATAATGGAGACTATTTCATTTACTAAATGTTTTGTTTTGATATATAAGTTGTTCGATAATATAAGTTTTTCATCTAAAAAAGCGACATTAATTTCGTGATGACCTAATAAGATGTCAGTAGTATAATTTACTTGCCAATAAAATCACTCTGTTTTGTTTCCTTTTTTTTCTTTCTTTTTACTCTTACATGCAAGCTAATCGACCTCTTATATGTGCACATCCGAGAGGAGCATAGCTCGACCGTCCACTAACCGTCCCCCATAAGCCTTGCTGACCTTCAATGATTCTCAATGTGAGAAAAACATAAAAATTTGAACAACAAAAATAAAGCATTGTTTTTAACATTTCTACAAGCTGTTTGTCCTTTTTATATTATTAAGAACCCCACCTAGCCAGATTGGCTAACTTTTTCCGCCATTAGAATCCAGCCTAAGTGAGACAGAGTCTAGAAGAAGCCCAAATGTGTCTTGACCAATTATATACAGTGGTGAAGGAGTATAGGCTTGTTCCATTAATGTCGGAAAATAAAGTATGATGGCGAATTCGTTAAATACGGTGGTTAGGAAAAATTATTGAAGTTACTGTCATGCTCTGTGAATGGTTTGCGGTTAATACAAGACTAGCTAACCGCGTTTATTCCAACGTTTACTGATGAACGTTGAGAACAGATAACAAACTTCGTGTAACAATACGTTCCTAGGGTTATGTTCTACGTATCTGATAATAGTTAAAATTCAAATTTAAATTTAAGAACATTTTAATTTTAATTTCTAGAAGCCACAGAAAGATTTGAATATATATATATGTACCGTAGATTGCAGTTCAAAATGATAAAAATATATG